GGGGGGGGGGGGGGGGGGGGGGGCACTATATGGTTGCACTTTGTCCCTCTGAGAAGTTTGTCTGGGGCATATCTTCTATACTATTTTATCTGGAGTACCAAGATTCGGTGTACAAGGACATCTTGGTATGGCGGAGTGCAGAGTGCAAGTAAATGGTCACTATGACCTCGGTGTGACCTATGCCTTGACCTTTGACCTTAACTTTGGAAAAAGTTTGTATGGGCATATATTTTATACAACTTTACCTGGAGTAACCAGATTTGGTGCACATGGACATGTTGGTATAGTGGAGTGCAAGAATTAGGTCACTGTGACCTATGCCTTGACCTTTAACCTTAACTTATGAAAATGTTTGTCTGGGGCATATCTTCTATACTATTTCACCTGGAGTAATCAGATTTGGTGTACAAGGACATCTTGGGATGGCGGAGTGCAAGAAGTAGGTCACTATGACCTCACTGTGACCTATGCTTTCTGACATAAAAGTACTGTTCGTTAAATATAGAAATCAGCACTGGTTGGGGACTATGGATTGCCTTGCAATACTTTGCCTTGTTTTACATCAAATATCTACATTTTTTTTCATTTTTGTCTCTAATATATATTTTTAGTATTCTATATTTATCACCATATAATCTAATACCATAATGCTAGTTTAGCTCCCGTTATCATATCTTTGAATTTCAAGGTAGATCACTTACCAGTAATGATTTCACTGCCATTAACTAGTTGATGAGATAATTGGGCTTACATTCGTCATAGTTTAATCTTTATTTTGTTGAAGTAGGCAAGAAACTGGTTGAACAAAATAAATTTCCTTTTCCAAGTCAAAGTATGAAATTCAAGTTTTAACATATATAAAAGGTCTACAGGATATAAATACAAAATGGGGGGGGGGGGGGGGGGGGCCTTTTTGCATGTGAAGTTACAACTGAGTATGTTTTATTAACAGTCTGTCTCTGTTAAGTATTAAATATTCAAAAACCACTAAACATGGCTCTGCTTCATGTGGCAGAAACAGTTTTAAAAGAGATTTTTTTTTAGCATAATTTACACTTGTATAATATATAACCAATTAACTTCGAAATTGAAATAAAAAAATGAGATAAAGTCAGATACATGTCTATTTTTAGTTTTTATGTGTATTTTTGATGTTTCAGTTTTTACATGTATTTTTCATTGTGTTGAGTTTATGGAAGTTCCTGTCATGCTTGTTTTAAAACATACATTCGTCCTGTGAAGTGTTGTATTTTCCAGCCATTTGCTTCACTTATGTTGATGTGAAGTGATGTCTCGTAATATTCGATGAGTATACTGATGACATTGATCTTGAATGTAGCTTTGTCATAAGAACAAACGCGGCCAGGATTTTTTATTGAGCTGTATATATATAATTAAGTAAGGTCTGCTGTACATATATGTACACACATTACTAAATGAATTTGGGGGAGTATTTCCAAGACTAATCATTGAAGAGAAGTGAAAACCACTTGCATCATGAAGGAATTTATTTTCAAAGCTTTAAAAGGAAAGAGGTGTATTTTTCGTTGTACAAATATAAAACTTGTGAGAATGAGTTGTTTCCTAACATGTAAGTGGTGTTTACCTAGCAGCGAATGTTACGTTAGTACTTTTGTGTTTGTCCTGGAGCTCTCCACGCATCCCTGAAGAGGCTCGACAGAAGTGGCCAGTCAGGTAGGTGGAGCCACCTGCTCGAGATCTTAGTCAAATAGCAACATTTGTTCTAAGTCCTCACAATGCTTGATCTTTAATATATAGTCATCACAATGTTTGATCTTGGTCCTTACAATGTGTGACGTCATATAGTCCTTATAACCTCTTGTCTTGGTCATGTCTTGCTACCTTTCTGCTAGAACTGTGTGGTCTTCATTAACAGCATGTATGATTGTGTTTTGTAGTCATTTCTTTGGGGAACATATCTGAAAGCAAACTTCAAATGACAATCATATTTTAGAACCTCCGGGAAGGAATATCTTCTATATACATTTATATAATATATTATATTAACTGGTCTATTTCAATTTATTAGTCTGATAACATTTTTGAAATGAACATGAAAGTCTGGTCGAGCTTACAAAAGTAATAACTCCAAAAGTCTGTACTACCCTGGGTTCTAAATGTACTACCCTGGGTTCTAAATATACTACCATGGGTTCTAAATGTACTACCCTGGGTTCTAAATATACTACCCTGGGTTCTAAATGTACTACCCTGTGTTCTAAATGTACTACCCTGGGTTCTAAATGTACTACCCTGGGTTCTAAATGTACTACCCTGGGTTATAAATGTACTACCCTGGGTTCTAAAAGGAGATTACAAGTTATTGTATATAATACAACGACTCTTTTACATAATGGGAGGAAGACATCACTACTTAAAATCACTGGCTGTAGCTTCTAGGTAGGTTCTATAATTACACTCGGCATGCTATATTGGCTGTACCTCAATTATGAAATGCGTGATTTTTTAATGCATTTGCATATTTAATTAAAAAAGAATTAATGTAGAAAACATTCTTCATCTAGTTGTAATAAAATAAATATTGTTTTAAAGTAATATTGCAGTATGTAGGTGCCAATTATCAACTGTAGATTAAGATGGCTTATTATAGGTAAAATATTTATTTTTTAATAATAAGTAAAGGTGATTTTGTTTTTTTGAGAATACTTCATTTGAGCTGTTGAATCTGGAATCATAATGATATCTTCAATCCCAATGTATAATATAGTCAACAGTCGTTTTCCTCGTATCAACAATTCTATATGTTTTCATTGCGATACAAAATATTGTTATTGTGTATGACACTGCTGTTTTGACTCATTTTTCAAACGTATGTAATCATTTGTATTTGCTTTAATACTCAATGTATGACGGAAGAAGTTGCTTCCTTAATGATGATATACTGTAACTAAAGTGGGTGGTGTTCAGGCTTTCACAGTCCCCACTAACAACGGGTTAATTGAAGTATATTTAAATGATAAAACCTGCTGTCTTCATTTACGATTTAATAACATAATATTTCATGTTAACATTCCTTCGAACCCTTTTTTTTTACTTCTGTTTAATAGATCATACCTTTCACTTGTAACAGAATGTAAAATTTCTATTTAACATTTTATTAATATTCCACACCTTTCCTTTGTTATAGAACTACTATTCCACACCTTTCCTTTTAGTGTAGTTAATAAGACATGTTTGGTTTAAACTTTGACCTCAATTAAAGCTGACATGTTGTGTGAAAATGATTTACTGATGGTGAGACTACTAAATGTAATACCCAACAAAGTGTAATAAGATGATTTGACCCTTGAACTTGGGGTAAAAGCTGACTACCAGTGACTTTTGACTCTTGAACCTGGGGTTAAACGCTGGCTGCTAATGACATTTATCAGATTTTCAGTAACAGTAACATTTGACCGTTGAACCTAGGTATAAAAGCTGATTATCAGTAACAGAGACATTTGACCCTTGAATATAGGTACACAAGCTGGATATCAGTAACAGTGGCATTTGACCCTTTAACCCTAGGTATAAAAGCTGGCTATCAGTAACAGTGACATTTGACCCTTGAACCTAGGTATACAAGCTGGATATCAGTAACAGTGGCATTTGACCCTTTAACCCTAGGGTTAAAAGCTGGCTATCAGTAACAGTGACATTTGACCCTTGAACCTAGGTATACATGCTGGATATCAGTAACAGTGGCATTTGACCCTTTAACCCTAGGTATAAAAGCTGGCTATCAGTAGCAGTGACATTTGACCCTTGAACCTAGGTATACAAGCTGGATATCAGTAACAGTGACATTTGACCCTTGAACCTAGGTTTAAAAGCTGGCTATCAGTAACAGTGGCATTTGACCCTTGAACCTAGGTATGCATGCTGACTACCAATACCATAGGTGACATTTGACCCTTGAACCTAGGTATACATGCTTACTACCAATACCATAGGTGACATTTGACCAGGGCAATAAAAGCTGACTACCAGTGACAATTAAATGTTGTATTAATGGAATGGCCCAGGAAATATTTGTTGTAATTAAGTTTAGTGTATATATTGTATCTATAAACTGTATCAGTATATGATCAATAAAGAATTACGAATTACAAAAATTTCTCTTTGAACCTGGTGATAAAAAAACCAGATCAACATTGGACATCTGTGGTGAAAGCTGATCACCACTCATACTTAAACCTGAGGTAAAAGTCACCAACAGGTATTGTGACATCTAAGGTAAAATCACTAACAGGTACTGTGACATCTGAGGTAAAAGTCACCAACAGGTACGGTGGCACCTGAGTTAAAAGTCACCAACAGGTATGGTGACATCTGAGGTAAAAGTCACAAACAGGTACTGTGACATCTGAGGTAAAAGTCACAAACAGGTACGGTGACACCTGAGGTAAAAGTCACCAACAGGTACGGTGACACCTGAGGTAAAAGTCACCAACAGGTATGGTGACATCTGAGGTAAAAGTCATGAACAGGTACGGTGACACCTGAGGTAAAAGTCACCAACAGGTACGGTGACATCTGAGGTAAAAGTCACCAACAGGTACTGTGACATCTGAGGTATAGGTCACCAACAGGTACTGTGACATCTGAGGTAAAAGTCACCAACAGGTACGGTGACATCTGAGGTTGTTAATTGCGAAATTGAATAAGACATAAATATTGATTGAAGCAGAATATAACACAAAATTTGTGTGCTTTCACTAGTTACATTAGACTGGTAAATACTGATTGTATACAGTTTGCAATATAATTAAAGTTTATTGATTGCTCTAGATGTTTTAATATTGTTCTTGCATTTTGACAATTTAAATGTGTGTTATGAGTTATTACTAAGGCTTTACCGTTTTGCTTATTGACCACCAGATGGCAGCTCGTGCAGCAATCCCAGTAGTCCTGGTTCTGCCGCTGAGGGTAGGTGTTTCTAGTTTCCATGTTTTTTTGGTGTTTCTTGATAACCAGATAAGTAAGTTTTTGTCGTATTGGCTGAAGACTAATTCGGTCAGAGGGCAGTATAACCAGATAAGTAAGTTTGTGTTGTATTGGCTGAAGACTAGTTCAGTCAGAGTGGCAGTATAACCAGATAAGTAAGTTTTTGTCGTATTGGCTGAAGACTAATTCAGTCAGAGTGGCAGTATAACCAGATAAGTAAGTTTTTGTCGTATTGGCTGAAGACTAATTCAGTCAGAGTGGCAGTATAACCAGATAAGTAAGTTTTTGTCGTATTGGCTGAAGACTAATTCAGTCAGAGTGGCAGTATAACCAGATAAGTAAGTTTTTGTCGTATTGGCTGAAGACTAATTCAGTCAGAGTGGCAGTATAACCAGATAAGTAAGTTTTTGTCGTATTGGCTGAAGACTAATTCAGTCAGAGTGGCAGTATAACCAGATAAGTAAGTTTTTGTCGTATTGGCTGAAGACTAATTCAGTCAGAGTGGCAGTATAACCAGATAAGTAAGTTTTTGTCGTATTGGCTGAAGACTAATTCAGTCAGAGTGGCAGTATAACCAGATAAGTAAGTTTTTGTCGTATTGGCTGAAGACTAATTCAGTCAGAGTGGCAGTATAACCAGATAAGTAAGTTTTTGTCGTATTGGCTGAAGACTAATTCAGTCAGAGTGGCAGTATAACCAGATAAGTAAGTTTTTGTCGTATTGGCTGAAGACTAATTCAGTCAGAGTGGCAGTATAACCAGATAAGTAAGTTTTTGTCGTATTGGCTGAAGACTAATTCAGTCAGAGTGGCAGTATAACCAGATAAGTAAGTTTTTGTCGTATTGGCTGAAGACTAATTCAGTCAGAGTGGCAGTATAACCAGATAAGTAAGTTTTTGTCGTATTGGCTGAAGACTAATTCAGTCAGAGTGGCAGTATAACCAGATAAGTAAGTTTTTGTCGTATTGGCTGAAGACTAATTCAGTCAGAGTGGCAGTATAACCAGATAAGTAAGTTTTTGTCGTATTGGCTGAAGACTAATTCAGTCAGAGTGGCAGTATAACCAGATAAGTAAGTTTTTGTCGTATTGGCTGAAGACTAATTCAGTCAGAGTGGCAGTATAACCAGATAAGTAAGTTTTTGTCGTATTGGCTGAAGACTAATTCAGTCAGAGTGGCAGTATAACCAGATAAGTAAGTTTTTGTCGTATTGGCTGAAGACTAATTCAGTCAGAGTGGCAGTATAACCAGATAAGTAAGTTTTTGTCGTATTGGCTGAAGACTGATTAAGTCAGAGTGGCAGTATAACCAGATAAGTAAGTTTTTGTCGTATTGGCTGAAGACTAATTCAGTCAGAGTGGCAGTATAACCAGATAAGTAAGTTTTTGTCGTATTGGCTGAAGACTAATTCAGTCAGAGTGGCAGTATAACCAGATAAGTAAGTTTTTGTCGTATTGGCTGAAGACTAATTCAGTCAGAGTGGCAGTATAACCAGATAAGTAAGTTTTTGTCGTATTGGCTGAAGACTAATTAAGTCAGAGTGGCAGTATAACCAGATAAGTAAGTTTTTGTTGTATTGGCTGAAGACTAATTCAGTTAGAGTGGCAGTATAACCAGATAAGTAAGTTTTTGTCCTATTGGTTGAAGACTTATGGCAGTATTGGCATTCTTTGAATAAGGACTCAGTGAAGCATGTATACGCTTTGCTGTTAGAAATAAAAATTGCATGTTTGATGGACAGTCAATTGTACTGGCTTGTTTATTATTTTTTGTTCCAGATAGTACCAGGTAAATGCAGTTATTATTCATGTCTTCAGACAAGGATGAAAATTAAATTAGTTTGTAATAATCCTACTAAGCATTGAACAGAAGCCAGTCTGCTGGTTTGGCAATGTATATAACAAAATCATGTATATATCTTAAAAGTTTGAGTAGAGAATGAATATACATTGTTATGAACAGTACTATATATAGTTGTATGTCCCTTTTCAATTTGGAAAGCTAAATATACACTAGTCTTTTGACTAAAGTGATTGTCTTGTGGTACAGTTCCTGGCATTACTTTTTTCTTCAATTTGTTTTAAAGGTGGCATTTATATTTATCACAGATTCTCACGATGAACAACATCTCAAAATTCACCTGAAGAGCGGCCATTTTGTGGAGGATCCAATCAGTCCTGTAGGATCTCCAAAGATGTCCCACAAGGCCATATTTCACCGTGATTCCTACCAGGACAACATCAGCATCACAGAGCTCATCGAACAGCTAAACAATACAGAGGTTCTACAAGAACAAGCCGACATTGTCCACTTCCTGTACACAGAAAAGTAAGTTAAAGGTCAAGGTCATTGGTCTGAAATTGTCCACTTCCTGTACACAGAGAGGTAAGTTAATTAAGATCAAGGTCACTGGTAAGACATTGTACAATTCCCGTACACATAGAGGAAAGCTAAATTAAGGATAAGATCACTGGTCCAACAACGTGCACTTTCTGTACACAGTGAAGTAAGTTAAGGGTCAAAGTGACTGATCCATCATTGATACCTATATGTACATAGAAAAGAAAGAGTCAAGGTTGATATTCTTTCTTATAAAGGGTCAATGTCACTCGCCCTGAGAGTGTGCACTTAGTGTTTACTGAGAAGAGGTTATTAAACTTACATTTCATATACACAGTGATAGTAGAAAGGTCATGCTCACATATTTGTAAATGAAGTTTATATTGTGACTGGTCTCTTTTCTTTATGAACAAGCCTTTCCAAAAAATATAAAGTATACAATGAAGTCAATTCATCTGCAAACTGTTCTGTTAATGATTTCTATATGTAAATGGCACTAAACAGTTATATATGATATATATAGGATCTTAAATGAGTTTTTCTTTCATATGAGATTATATGAAACGATTCTTAGGAGTTTTTATTTTTGCAAGCCTTGGCGAGCAAAAATTAAAACTTCGAGACGAGTTTCATAAAAGCTCATTTGAAATGAAAACAAAATTAGGAGACTTTTTATCACATAACTCAGAAAACTTACATCTTGACAGGTTTTAAAGCCAAAATGTAGAGGGCTTAATCAAACGGAGACAGACATTTTGTTGCGTCATTCACAATTATGATGTCACGTCATTGTCAATATTATGACGTCACAATCAATTTCTGACTGGCACAGCCAATGAAAAACGCTCCAGGGTATATTACACTTGTGACATATGTAAAATTATTACACGGGCGAATTCACTGGATAACAGGCCGATTATGTGATAAATGTATATATATGCTAATACACCTTGCTATGACATGTATTCTACAGAGGTCTCGACTGGGACACGGAGGTGGGAGGTAAAACCTGCTCTGTTCGGGAACTTCTGGTGGAGCTGTATGAAAAGGTAGGTTGTTCCTCTTGTATTTGCTGAGCCTTGTATTTGCTGAGCGGAAATACATTTCAAATTTCTACCACGTTTAGTCGATTGATTTATCCTGTACCTTATCATGTGACTTAAATTGCCATGTGACTTGTTATGTTATTTGTGTTGTAGGCAGGACACTGGAAACAATGGTGGCTGGTTAGACACACTGCGGGGATGTTAAAGAAACGAGTGGAAGACCTCGCTCTGGTATGGAGGAATTATTTGGACGTTTACAAAATAGACTTATAGATATAATTGTATCATCCATATATTCATCATATTGAAATGCTAATTATCTTATAGGCAACCCTGTCCCAGTGCAGGCAAATCAGTAGAGATCCACTTTAGTTTTTCATATAGCTATTAACCTTTCTTTAATTTCACTTTGTTAGAGCAACAGTAAAGTTACTGACTGTCAAGAATTTCAATCCTGATTCGGCCTGTTGCATTTTAACAATCACGTTTTTTTGGGGTGTTTTTTCATCAAAGTTCTTCAAAGTACAGTTTTCTTTAAAGAACTGATTTATCAAAGTGTCCAATGTATAGTAACAGTTTAGGCTGTGGTATAGGGATTCCTAAATACTAAGGAGATCTTGTATGGTGTTGTAATGTATAGTGACAGTTTAAGCTGTGGTATAGGGATTCCTAAATACTAAGGAGATCTTGTATGTTGTTGTAATGTATAGTGACAGTTTTGGCTGTGGTATAGGGATTCCTAAATACTAAGGAGATCTTGTATG